GATGTGAATATACAAGGAGAAAGCGTGTAGCGTTATTTTTTGCTTCTGTGGTAAATTTGACAAAATCCCCACAACTTCACTCTGTAAGCCAACTCACATTTAAAATTACTTTAGAACTCCGAATGAAAATGTGTAACGCATCTCAATCCAATCTCAAATCCCAGTCGATTAGTACTGGTCAATTCGCCCCTTCTTCATTTGCGTAACGGAAAACCGGGAAATATAGTCCACAACAACTGATTCGACTGGGCGTGTCTTCTCAGTGTGACGTGGATTTTGGAAAGGCGCCAGCTCGTTTTCCACCAATCATTACTCGCCTCATCTGGCAAATGACAGAACGCTTTGTACATTTATTCAAAAATATAATTGATATGCTTACGAATCACACGAACATCACACAATGAAGAAGGCTGTAATAGAGGTGACAAATATGATGGAGCACTGACTTGTGTGCGTGATTCTGAAAGACATTCTGAGCGGAAGTGAGTGTTAAACAACGTTTTACTCGATGCCCGTCACGGAATATGGAATTCGGTAGATAATTTGAGGCCATCTATGGGTATAGGTTCGGGTCAAGTGAGATATGGGTTGTAATCTCAAAGGTGGACAACGATGGTCTGGCCACTGTTCAGTTGAGTAGCCGGCCAGAAGCGCGATTCCGCTCATCGTTGACACCGGTTACGGTGCTTGAGACTAGTACAATTGAGCCTCCAGCTTAATTTGAATCCCTACTCGGACTCATCGTGTTTTGAATAAAATCATCTACAGGGGCTCCGATGAAGGGTTCAGAGCGTATCAGGCCGGGTCCATAGTGGGCCTAGCCCTCCCCGTCACCACAGAAGTGTGGTAACGTCTAGTAAAGCGAACTACGGTGACAAAAATTACTTAAGCGAGGTAAGAAAAAACAGAATGAAGTGAGACCATTTGTTAGAGTACAGTACAAGAACGACCATAGATTGAATGACTATGGAAATTATAGTTATCGATTGCTAAGTTGAAAATTGCTCTATGCGGAACTGTTTGTCACCATAAGAGAATGGTTGAAAAGGGATGAGCAAGAACATTCAGAAGCGAATTGAATCATAAGGGATTCTTAAGTTGGAGCTCAGAGTCTGACGTTGGTATGGTCTTTAAGGTGGTCTTGCCTTGGCTTGGTGCCAACAGGAATTGCTTCGATGTTGTGAGCAGGATATTCAGCTACAAGTGTGCAGACCAAAGCGAATAAATAGGAAATCAGCAACTGCACACAACAGTGGGCAAATATCGGCCATTGAGATTCGAAGACAATCGGGAACGATACCAGTAAGTAAGTGAGCACAACCGGTATCATGTGAATCAGGTACACCTGAAAAGTACAATCGTTAACTTAAAGAGTTTTCAATGAAGGAAAGCATGATTCGGACTGGGAGGGGCATGAGCTTTTGTTGGTTTCTTTTGATGGTTTCTGTTAAGTGGGCACGATGGGTGGGGGCGGACGGTTACTGTCATCGTCATTGGTGGAAAGGTTGAGTGGGATGTGGTCGAGCTGCACGATGGGTGGGGGCGGACGGTTACTGTCATCGTCATTGGTGGAAAGGTTGAGTGGGATGTGGTCGAGCACTCTCTCGCACCCCTTCCACCAATGACGTTAGCGACAACTGCCCGCCTCCCAGCCATCGTGCCCTCAGCCTTTTATTTACACGCCACACCTTGGTGAGACCTGTAGATTCTTGTTAATTGTAAAGAAGCTCACGAAATTCCTTTGCTTCGCAGGAATTTACAGATCTGCAGAGATCGATGCAAACCAGCGTTATGCCCCCTTCAAGTCGATCCGCGCCAAAAAATGTATGGAAGGTCTAGTGGCCGAGTTTTTCCCTTTCGCCTGAACGATGCGCAGTATCCTATGCGCTTACAGGCAATCAGGTCTTCCCTCTTTGCGGAACAGCACTTCAGAATTAGTGTTACTCCTGAAAACGAACTCGGCCGTGAAGTAGGTCACTAGGTTCGCCCAGGTTTCTAAGTGAAGCGAAACAGGTCGCACAGTTGGTACACTGGACCTCTCTGCGCAACTCTTCAGACACATTCCGCGATTATGGGTCGTGAGCTCAGAGACCCAAATATGAAGTCGTAGATGTTAATTGACTTTGCAGTGAAGAAATGGGTGGATAAAACCGTCGAGAGCGCCTCAAATAAGGCCCCAGAGCTAAATGACTAGCTGCAAAAGCGAGACACTGCTGTGCGGGCGAGAGATAAAGGATGAGAGAAGAAGGGCGAGCTGGAATACAAGCGATACTACAGAGATCGGTACTACACAGAATGAACTTACGCGTCAGATCTGTGCCCCCCCCCCCCCTCCCCTCCCCACCCCCACTTCCTCGTCCAATTAGGTAGGATCGCCGACATATCTCGTCCCCAAAGAACAAATAAGGGGAACAATTTTTACCATGACGTCTTTTCACTTTATGACGACCGCAGCGCCCTCGTCACTTACTCTCGAGCCGCGAAAGTGGGACAGCCTCTGAGACTCCGGAGCGAACTACTCGTAAAAGAAAGGGATTCCATGAATCAACTAATCTCGTGATTTGTTTTGAAGGGTCAGCATTTGCTAACTCAGCTCTTTCCAGGCCTGTTTGTGCATTTGAAAACACGAACTTAACGAAATTGCAAAATCAGTGCTTCTTTTCGCTTACTATTGTAATAGTGC